TTATAATAGCCTGGCTCTTGCCTCAGGATCTTTATTACCAAGAATAAACTGTATGAAAGGTTGCCATACTATATAGCAGACCTCCAGCTGCTCTTCTAAGAAAACATCAATGAGACTTTGCGATAAGGGAGATTAACTAGGCTATCACATCCAAGGGCAGCCCTGGATAGACAAGTGAATTTCTCACCCACTTCTGCTCAACATGAAAAACAGGAAGAAAGGAGGCTTAAATGCTGCATTAACCATCTTTCAAAATGATTTAACATAGGCTTAGCTTATTATGCCTAAAGGAAATAAAGCAAACATGAAATAGATTAAAATTATAGTTTCTATGTCAGCCTCAAAAATAACTTAAGCAAAACAAAAGAAAAAAATATATATCCTAAGCTACCTTTTTATTTTAGGAAAGAGAACTTCCCTAGCTCTCTCAAACTAGTTTTGACAGCAGGCCTGACAGTTCCCAACTGAGATGAAATAAACACAGTACCCATCACAATCACGGAAGACAGCCTGCTCACAAAGATAAGCATGAAATGACACAGTTCTTAATTGCACCAACAACATACCATGGCACATAGAAAGCTATACCATCTGTAAGAAAAGGTTTTATGTCTTACTCTGGTTTGTTTCTGTTTTGTCTTATTATTTTTAGATAACTATTTTTTCCTTTTCTTTCTTTCCTTTCTTCTTTGAGACAGGGTTTTTCTGTGTAGCCCTGGCTGTCCTGGAACTCACTCTGTAAACCAGGCTGTCCTGGAACTCACAGAGTGCTGGGATTTAAGGCAGGAGCCACCACCACCAGTACAGATAACTGTATTCTAATGATAAAGAAAGGGTGTAGATTTGAGTGCCTGGGAAAGATATGGGAGGAATTGAAGAGAGAAATATAATTAGGATATACTGTATTTTTAAAAAAAAAACTATCTTCAATAAAAATGTAGTTTTTAAAAAAGGTTTTATGAAGGCTGAAGATCTATATCTTTACAGTGATAAAGTAAGGCACTATGCTCAAATGTCCACTTCCAATGTTTTGCCTACTTATGAAGCTTCCTATAAAATGACTTGCAAGAGACCACATAATTCTTTAAAGCATTTAAAGAAAAGCTAAGCTGTGGGCTATTGTATATATACAATAATTAGCTTTCACCAGCAGATACGGTTGTCTGTTGTAGAATATTTCTTTACACTGTATAAATGTGTTGCTATGATTTGCTTGGTTTACAGGATAAAGTTAAGTGGAAAAGGAGAATGATGGGATGAGGAAGGACAGAGTCATAGGAGTCACCAGCAGACACAGAGGGAAGAGAAGATGAATGTGCCATGCTAATAAAGGTACCATCAAATGGCAGAATGTAAATAAGGAATATGGGCTAACTTAAAATGTAAGAGCTAGTTAGTAATAAGCCTGAGCTATTGCCGGAGCATTTGTAATTAATATTAAGCCTCAGAGTGGCTATTTGGGACCAGGCAGGTGGGACAGGAAAGAATCCCAACACTTAGAATAGTTATACAGGGTGAATTATTAGAGCTTATGCTTCCAAGACTCGGCAAAGAAAGGTTGGGAGGCTGCTAAGAACATGGTACCAACAGTTGCTGCACGAGTAGCCTCTGAGATGATATTAGGACACCTGGTTTACATACTAAGGAACTAATGCCCAGAGAATTTACAGTGTTTATTTGTTCCAGTTAAGTAGGTAATACTTGACAGAGCTGTAACTAAGTATTAATTAAAAAGAAAAAAAGAAAAAAAAAATCAATGCTCTACTGATGTGGGAGTGATTTCTTTCTAATCTGTTGCTTTCATTGGCTAATTAATAAAGAAACTGCCTTGGCCCATTTGACAGACCAACACTTAAGTGGGTGGAGTAAACAGAACAGAATGCTGGGAGAAAGAAGCTGAGTCAGGCAGTTGCCATGATTCTCCCACTCCAGACAAAGGCAGGTTAAGATCTTTCCTGGTAAGCCAGCTCGTGGTGCTACACAGAATATTAGAAATGAGTTAGATCAATATGTAAGAGCTAGCCAATAAGAGGCTGGAACTAATGGACCAGGCAGTGTTTAAAAGAATACAGTTTCCGTGTAATTATTTCGGGTATAAAGCTAGCCGTGCGGGCGGCCACTCAGATTTCAACACTCTACAGTTGCTAATTGCCCCAAAACCCATGTAAATACGTTCATGAGACTAGTACAGGAAGATAGATAACCAACACCAATATTTTGAAGGAAAGCAGTCAAGCTATAGTTTCTGGCCAGTGAAGGTTCATGGAGCTTACATTTTAGAAGTGACAAGAGGGAACTGAGTTATCTGACTTAATAGCTCCTCAGGTCAACTCTTTCTTAATCTATAGAAAACCATCAAATAGGACCAGCTGAATGGCTCAAGAGATAAAGGTACCTGCCACCAAACCTGCCATGAGTTCTATTCTTGGAACTCATGGTTGAAGGAGATAACTGACTCCAAAAGATGTCCTTTAACCACACAAGTGCTATGGCATACACACATGTATATACAATACCAAATGGAAGGTTTTAAGGAAAAAAAGACATTAAACGATTTCTATTATTGGCACCTCTTCATATATCAGATAAAACCACCATACAAAGGTTTCTGGCTATTGATTGTTTCAGCATGCTATTTTCCTACCAAAGCTCTACTTCTTCCTTTGAAGGCTATTCATGTCTGAGACTATAATGAAGCCTTAAATTCTTGGACTGTTCCCACAAATTCTTCATCAGCCAAGAGAAAGATACATGAGAACTTTTCACTAGTCTGCAATCTCATTTTCTGGACCTACCTAAGGGGCTGGTTTCACACCTCTCTGTAAGGACAAGCACAAATGGCAATGTGTGCTTTTCACTCAACACATAAACATAGAGAATTTTTTTGTTTGTTTTTCGAAACAAAGTTTCTCTGTATAGCCTTGGCTTTCCTGAAACTCACTCTGTAGACCAGGCTGTCCAGAAACTCAAAAATCTGCCAGCCTCTGCAAAACAGAGATCCACCTGCCTCTGGCTCCTAAGTGTTGAGATTAAAGAGCTTTGCCACCACCACCAGGCTGCTTTTTGCTTATTTGTTTGAAGTATAGAAGGTTTTTTTTTAAATTTAATGTTTCGATGTGGCTAGCGATCTCATTCTATCCTATCATTGAAAATGGTTCTACATACTGAAATGTTAATAATTTAGAATTCCTTGGTCCTGTTATTTAGAAATTTTACTTTAAAAAGAAAACCTTGTTGCATATGGTGGCACACGCCTTCAATCCTAGGGCACTGGAAACTAAAGAAAAAGTTCAAGGACAGTCTGTTATTGTGTTACTGACTAGTCTGGAGCTCACTGTATAAGAGACTGTCTCAAATACTCTATGTATGAGGTATGGGGGGAGGGCAGATATATATGTGTGAGGTATGGGGCAGGGTATATATGTGGGGGGTGTCTATTTTGACAATTTAAAGAATATCAAGGATATTAAATTTATCCAAATGTATGTACTGTGGATATAGCAAAATGTTTTCTAACCACACTGTCTGTTCTATCACTTGTAGAACATAGTTATTTTGGTGGGTCAAACAAGTCTAACTATCAAGCTGCCATGAACTACTTTTTGTGCTACATCAAATCTATGTAAGGAAAAAGAAGAAAACTCAGTCCCCATCAGGAACTAGGAAAGGCAGGACAAGTTACCTATGCTGTATTCTCCCAGTGCCAAGAGACAAGCAGGAGGGCAAGGGTAAGCTGCAGACTCCTGCACTAAAGCCCCAGCTGGAAGAATCAATAAACTAGCCCAGGAAGCATTATTCACAATCTCAGTGTCACAGTTCTGGTCTAACCCTGTCCACTGCAACAAGCCAGACTATCAAAATGAAACAAGATGCCCCAAAGCAAAAACTAAGGGGGGGGGGGGCAGCAATGTAACCCGGAACACCCAGGGTAGTAAGCACTGGCTGCACTTAGACTCATTGCCACGATAGGGAACACTACGAGTTCATGCAAGTCATCTGACCATTATTCTACAATGTCCTGACACTAGCACAGGTCTACATCAGAAACAGAGGGAGGCGTGTGGTTCAGAGCACTGTACTTGCCTGTCAAGGGTCTGGGCTCAAGTCCCACCATGACAAATAAGCAAGTGCCATACCTCTTACAGAAGAGTCCTGAAGAATGGCATATAGCCTCACACAGATAGTTCTCAGGTAATTCAAGAAAATAAATTGTGAATAGTTAAAAAAAAACTACCAAGAATATTTAACATCTGATACTTAAGAATCAGAACCCCAGTTCTAGAGGGATCGATCTAGAAGGATGAATCAGAGCTGGTCTGTAATACCAACTTCTGCTTCTCCAGCCTCTGGCAAAATTACTACAACCAGACATTCCCGAAATGTGGACAGGAGGGGAACTCATGCTCCCTGAAGTAATTTGGTCAAGAACAAAAGCCTGGCATCTGCTCACCTGTCAGAACCATCTGAAGTCATGGTGTAGTTAATGATTTTTATTATGCCAGATACCACTTATTCTTAACTCAAGCAGGTCTGTAATTATCGGTACTTTCCAATGCTTATTAAAACTGAGGGTGGGGAAATGTTCAATAGAAATGATGGAGAATAATGAAAACCCAAGTGCAGTGGCACATGCCTTCAATCCCAGAATTCAGAAGGCAGATCTCTGAATCCCAGGCCAGCCAGGGTTACATGCTAAGCCCAAGTCTCCCCACCTACAGAAAAAAGAATATCATGATATATTCACTCATCATGCTTTACAATCAATTAAAATGATTAGGAGTACAGTAGCAACATATAAAAACATAGACTCAAACAAAAAGGCTAAATATATTTTATCTATATTATACACACATATTTAAAAATCAGAAGAAATGCTTAAACAAATAAAACTGCTTGGCACATTAGTTTGTATGCTTTTGTTTTATACTACTATTGCCAAAATGCTACTGTGACAGGCAAAATGAAAAAATTTTATAGATACAAGCAGTTAGCATACTTACCACAGTGGGATTGCCACTACTTATCAATTGGCTGACTTCATGAAAAATGCTTTTGCAGTCAATTGACTTATCTAATGATCCTCGTTTTACAATTACGGCTACTGCTAATAGAATCTGTTCCCGAACATACTTTTGGAGGCTGCAAAACATAAAAAGTGTGAAAACATTTACCTATATCTACTATTAAGATAGGTGGCACCTCTGAGTGACATTACAAACATCCATTCCCAGCCAAGGCATTCTGTAAAAGCCTATTGATCACAAGGGCACGGAGACTTAAATGCCTCTTCAGAACCCCTTCTTAAAGGTCAGCCTACAGAAACAGCAACCTTATAATGTAACCTCTCAAATGTCACAAAGATGTGCCCTTGCACCCTTGGGACAAGTCACATCCCTTACCATAGGCAACAAGACCAATCCCAGATTTCCTGGAAGAGTCCCAATGTCCTATTGTCCTGATTAATTATTAATAATGCTTACCTTTCCCTTTCAAATGTGTTTCAGTTTGGACTTAAGTTATACATCCGGTTCATGCACTTTTAAAATTTGCGACAGCCAAGTGCCTTCTCTTCTCTCTGACCTCACCCTTCCCATACACTCAGTACAGCAGGCATATGGATCCTCAGTTCCTGGCTCCACACTCTTATACTGCCAGGCCTATGAACGTCTATTCCCTCTGCCAAAACCGTGGTGCCACTTCCTGCAGAAAGCTATCACTAAAGGCTCAAGGCACCAGCATGTGGCATGACTTACCTGTCACAACTGAACTCTATCCTGAAGATCACCACCCCACTTCTAAGCACACTAGTATATGTAAAACTCAGTATTTACCATATAGAAGGCATTTATTGAACATCTAATTTCAAGCATGTGTCCCTACATCAAGACTAAAGTCAAAATATTCCTACAAAATACAGATTTGGGCCGGGGGTGGTAGCATATGCCTTTAATATCAGTATTCAGAAGGCAGAGGCTATTGAACCCCTGAATGCCAGCCTAGTCTACATAGCAAGTTCCAGGCCAGGCAGGACATCATAGTGAGACCCTGCCTAAAATGGGGGGGGGGGGGGGACTTCTACTGACAAGAATTAGAAAATTAAAACATTTACTGAGCTTTATGCAGGGGTTTTATTAAATTAACATGTTCAAAAAACACTGTTAACTCCACTAATTATCAGAAAGTTAGCAAGAAATATTAGTCGCAAATATCAGGCAAGGTCACAGAGTCAATGTAGCAGAACAGGAATGCACGTTTCTCTCCTGACTATTATGCACCTGTCCCTGGAAAGGAGGCACGGTAACAAACCTGTACATGTAGTGGTGAGGACCTAAATTCACAATCCCTGTGTACACCAGACTCTACAACATAAGCTATCTGAATAATCCTACCTATATAGTACACCACATTTGCTACTTGACTTTAATCCACACTAGCAAGTGGATTAGATAAATTAGATTCTATAAAATAATGTCAATGTCATTAAAGACCAAAAAAAGGGAGCAGAATTACTCTGACTTTAAAGGAATGTAACAGGAGTTGGAGAGCTGGTTTAGCGGTTAAGAGTACTCGCTGATCTTGCAAAGCACTTAGGTTTGGTTCCCAGCACCTATTAGTAGCTCAAAACCACCTGTAACTTTTGGGGCACCAGGCATACACATGGTGTGCATATACACATACAGAAAAAATACCCATACAAAGCAGCTGGAGAGATGGCTCAGCAGCCAAGAGCACGTTCCCTGCGCACGCACACACACGGTGGCCCACTACCATCTATAACTCCAATTCTAGGAGATCTGACACCTTCTTCTGACTTAGGGAACATGGGTTCAGTTCCCAGCACACACATGGTGGCCCACTACCATCTATAACCCCAATTCTAGGGGATCTGACACCTTCTTCTGACCTTCACAAGCACACATGTGGTACACAGACATATATGCAGGCAAAAAACTCATACATAATAAATACAGCTAATAAAAATTAAACTACTCATGCACATAAAATAATTTTTTAACTAAAAAAGTCATAATAACTGAACATAACATCTAACTTGTAATAGAACCCTGGACTAAAAGACAACATATTTTACTTAATGTTAGAAAGAAAACATTAACAGAGACAAAGAGACAGACTGCATATTAACAAGAAAAATGGCCTATGATGGAAAGATATACCTAGCATTAGTAAAATAATTGAGGAACTCAGAATATGCAATCAGAATGATATTAAGTAATGATATAAACAGGACAATTAGATCTAGACTATTGACAGTGTGGTCTCAGGAAAGACACACTCAAGTATTTAAGATGAAAACATTGTAGTGAGCATGGCAGTTTGCTCAAATGTGACAAGATGTTAACTGAGTTGCCAGGCGGTGGTGGCACACGCCTTTAATCCCAGCTCAAGAGGCAGAGGCAAGGCCTGTGAGTTCCAGGCCAGCCTGGTCTACAGAGTGAGTTCCAGGATAGCAAGGGCTACAAGAGAAACCCTGTCTCGAAAAACAAAAATGAAAACAAGTTAACTGAGCTTCTACCAGGAAAGGGGTTTGTGTGTTCACTGTGCTGCTGTGTCATCTTTGCCAAGAAAGTTTTAAGAAGTCCTCAAAATAGTGTAGGGAGGAGGCAGTGCTTACCTATCATACACAAGATCTTGGGTTCCACTTCCTGATACCATACACTAACACACACACACTGGGAGGAATCAAGTGAACTTTTTCAACACAGAACCTTTCGTAATCAACTCTAAAATAGTCTCTAAACTAATCAAAATGATTTGAGAATGGAATTAATCTGGATAGCAGAAGAAAGCACATATATAATCATCAAGGAATACCTCTCCCACATTACATCTACCCCAGCTCTCAGGGTTCTGGGTTTCATGGAATGAAGTGGGAAAGGCTGCCAAGGAGGTCAAAAGTTCTACAGAGACCCCGACTACTTAGGAAAGACACCCCATGACAACAGTTGACTTAACCACATGAAAAGTGCCATCAAATCACTGTTCGATGAAAGTAAAAACAGAACAAAAACCCAGAGAAATAAAGAGGCTTTATGACAATACTAGACCTGGGAGCAAGGTGTCACAAAGACTGCTCGTCAGACACAGGGGTCTAAATACTAAAGCTACTAGTGGCATACAACTATTTTTTTTTTCCTTTCAGTTTTTAGTAATACTCTTATACTGTAGGCCAGTCTAGCTCTGAGCTTGCAGTGGTCCTTCTGCGTTTGCCTTCGAAATCAGAGATGTGATGTGACCCTCCTAGTTTAAAACAAAACAGAAAACCTGAGCTACATACATACTCAGCCCCTAATTCTTTAAACTCTTGCTACAAACATAGATAGACTTTATATTTAGTTCCTTTTATTATATAAATATAAACGCAAAGATTTTTCTCAACTTCTTTTTAAGCCTAAGAATACACTATCAAATTATATTTCAAATTATTTTGCCAGGGAAAAGATCAAAACAACCATCATTATCATTAAAATATAACAAAAATGTGTCTATTCCATACAAGAACAAATGCACAGGCTTGTAAAAATGTTTAAACGAAAATTCACTTTACCTCTCCTAAAATCTGATCTTTTTCAAAGTAAACAAAGAATTTAGTGCTTTTTCTTCTAAAATATTTTCTATGCACACACATGTATCATTTGGCTTGTTGATGGCTTAATTTTTTCCTCTTCCTCTTGGGGATACGCAGCTACATCTTATATTACTTAGCCCATGCTAAGCTTCATAAACATATTAAAAGAAATAAAGCATCCTACCACACACCAAAGAACAAGTCAAGGTAAGTTCTGACAGAGTCAAAAGTAATGTTGTATTTATAATCAAATTCTTCAAAATTCAACAATAAAGCTATTTTCTTTAGTATCAGAAAGGAAAGTTATGATTTCATCAAGTATGAAAGCAAACTACAATCATATGTATGAATTTTCTTTTTTTTTTCCAAAGATTTATTTATTATGTATTCAGTGTTCTGCCTGCATGTATCCCTGCAAGCCAGAAGAGGGCACCAAATCTCATTACAGATGGTTGTGAGCACATGTAAGGTTGCTGGGAATTGAACTCAGGACCTTTGGAGGAGCAGGCAAAGCTCTTAACCACTGAGCCATCTCTCCAGCCCCATATATGAATTTTCAAACTACAAGCCCTAGGATAGAGCTTGCCCATAAACATCATCATTAAGAAGAAGGGATCTCTAAAAGGACAGATCAGAGGCTGAACAAGGGTATTTTAGCAGTGCTGCCCCAAGTACTTACTGAGGCCTTTGCAAGACATAGGTTAGGAGGAATGTTCTCAGCGACTCAATACTGCCTTTTTCCAAGAGAACCCATTCTCGGACAACTGCTTCCATTATGGCTGTGGCAGCTTGAAAAAGGACATAGTCCACTTTACTGGTTTCTGGGAAGAAAATTAAAATTTCTCTTTAAACAGTAATTCATATGATCTTGTGTATTTTGCATTTATTAATTTTAAGACAGAACTTTTCAGACAAGGAATAAGATGGTTACCTGTTCTGTTTTTAATCCAGTGACCTTGCTCTAGCACCACAAAGAGGTTAGTTCCTCTCAGAAGACACCTCAGGCAGGTGGCAGCTAATCACCGATCACAATTTTCACAAACTTTCCTCACCTCTCTTCAACTGTTACTTCCAAAGCATGAAGAACTAAAAAATAACACAGCTTTAAAAGGTAAAAATAAAAATATGAAGCAATCAGAAAGTGTACTAAGAGATTCTCACCCTGTGCAAAACTGGAATGTTTTATTTCAAAAATATCTTATTAAACTGGTCTTTGAACATTACTATTTATGATGAGTCATGCTGCCAAAATACTGCAGCTTTTAAGTAAGCCTTCAGCAGGATGGCCCACCTCAATAGCAAGTTCAGAAATAAACAGCCACGTGGAAGGTCTTTGTCTCAAATGGTCAAGTACAATGAGCCACATTTACACAAGGTGAGAAGTTCTCCTTACTTTTCTGATTGCAGTACTGATCAAACTGAGTAATCCCGAGGCTACACTTAGAAAGACCCAGCTACCTGGCAAACTCAGAGGAACTAAGCTAAAACCTGAACCAGAGAAAAAATAGAAAATTAACAAACCTTAAAAATATTTTATACTAATTGTCTATTTTTTCTCTTAATGTATACTGCTACAGTTTTCAAACAGCATTATTAAAAGGGAGAAACAGTCAAAATGAAGTCAAGAAAAAGTAGAAATTCTCTGAGGTCTATAAAATAACCATGTGAAACTCTTAAGTCTGAATAGACTTCAGATTATGTACCAAGATCACTGGGTATGAGTATCTGAAAGCCACAAGAAATAAACTCTAGGCCTAGAATGGTGCCTTCTAGAACTCAAGATAGGAGTACAGACATGCACTGTTTTCTTTCTAACTCAAACTCGGGTCATTAAAAATGTTACTAGTGTTCCTAACACATTAACTATGAAAATCCAGGAGGAAAGGTGCACCCTGACTGAGAGTATGTCCCTGTAGACAGGACTTCTGAATACAGCAAAAGTAGAAAGAACCAATCTAGGCCTTTTGTTTCTACATTTTGATTAGTCTGTGCTACTGTTATATAAACTGATTGAGATGATGATTAGAAGTCACAAAAATTTAGAAACTTTAAAATACAATAAATGATTTAATTTTTTAAAAATGAATAGTTTCTGAAAATGCAATCTCATTACTAAAAAAAAAAAAAGTTTAACTTTCCAAGAATGAGGGTGGAGTGGTAGATTTTATTCTAAGAGTCAAACAATTTTAGCCAGAAACAGGTTATATCTATCTCCCTTAAGAAGAAATATGACTGTGTCTGGTGAAGGTAAGTTAAAGAATGTCACTATAGATTTCTCTGAGAGGATGATGATGGTTTGTCTTCATGTCCATCTACAATGAAATCCTTAAGTACAGATTTGAAGAAGGTAAAATACGAAGGCTTCACAGAATGTTAGGAACAGCAAAGATCATCGTTGTCTTCAACTGCTGTCTATTACAGATACAGAAACTGATGTCCCAATGGAGAGGAAATGTGAGGTCACATGACTCTCTAACAACACTAATCCATGCTAAGCACATGCCACCAAAGGCAAGACCAAGTAGGCACTTGTCAGTCACGAGCCCTGAAACACCCTTATTTTAAACTACATATGCCTCTACCCTAGTCTTTTTGTCTGTCCTACATAAGAATGACATTGGAAAGTTTTCAAGAGACCCTTGTTAACTTTTCTTCAGCATCTACCTCTACATGGCAGGAAATGAGGGTCTAATTTATTAAGAAACTGTCTCTAAAAAATGGAGAAATACTGGAAGAGAAAGTAAAGTTCTAAATTGAAAAGTAGGACTTTTTCAAAGAGTATTGCGGTTTCTGATAAACACTATTATTAGCTACCCAAAGAGTATATTTACACATAGCACAAACGTGTAAAGGAGCCAGAGCACTCTGCACGCTAGCCAGTACTCACTAGCAGAGCTTCGTCATACACGCAAGCCTCAGTCTCACTGTTCCATGAAGATGACTGACACTGCAAGGTCTTCCTGCTGAGCTGACAGCTCAAGCTAGAATGTCTGTCTCCCTGGAGGAAGAGCTGCTGCTGGCTACAACAGCGCTGCAATCGCCTGCTTGGGGCTGCTTTCTAGAACGTCTTCTTTGCTACCGCAGTAACTTCAACAGTTATGGACTAAAAATCATTTGGGGGTGAGCATTAAAGACACGGTTTCTCTGTGTAGCCTTGGCTGTCCTGGAACTCAAACTCAAAGAGATCCATCCGCCTGCTTCTGTCTCCCAACTGCTGGGATTAAAGGCGTGCGCCACCACGGCCCAATTTATAATAAATTATATTTCATCTCAAACATGACAGCACCCTTTGGAGAAAAATTGAAAGTGAACTGAGTAATAAAGGGAAACTAATCAAAGAGTGTTCTCAAAACAAAAGTAAGTCTACTACAGACGGAAACTAATCAAAGAGTGTTCTCAAAACAAAAGTAAGTCTACTACAGACGATCAGCCGCTGCAGTCTGACTGAAATCACACGGCTGTAACTGACATGCCAGCTCTCCAAGCAGAATGACACCTACACCTACCAAAGAGTAGTGAAGTCTCAGTGGAAAGATAAAATTGGCAGTGTTACCAAAGACAATTTTCCAAATACAGAGAAGTCATGTTTCCTAGCCCTATTGAACATTCTGGTTTGTTTCACTGTGTGCGGGCTGCCTAAGATAAGCGAATGGAATCCGATTCTCCCTGAGAAAGCAAAGAGGTGCTACAGAGGTGACTTCAGGAGTAGTAAGCCAGTTCCTCACATTTCTTGGTTATTTCTTTAGCAAGAATTAAACTCAGGCTTGTTTGTTCTTAAAAGAAATATTTAACCCTAAAATACTAGTAGGTTCCTGAGTGCCAAAGATTTCTTAGGTGAAATAATCTAAAAGTTCATTTGTGGGGAAATACCCAAGCATGCAGTATGTACACACATGCATACACACAGAGGCAGAGGCATAGATATACACAGAGGAGCGTGCACGCACACACACACACGCACACACACACACACACACACACACACAAGAGCAAAGAAAGCAAAAAATAAAGGGAAACAAAAGGGTAAGAGAAAGAAATGAGGAAAAATGAGAAACACATAAAACTGAAGCTAGCAGTAAAGGAAGAGTTTTAAGGACAGAGAAGGGAAGCATCAAAGAGAAAAATCTCCCCTTTATCAGAATATATTCCCAGACATTCTACAAAATGACATCTAATCCCTAAGTAAGAATGTGAAAATTCTGAGTTGTGATTGACTGCCACTTGTATGAGAAGTCTTCTTAGAGGAATTTGCCCTTCTGTGCTGGTGGCAACTGAGTAAGGGGTTAAAAAAGATTTTTGGTGAAGTTTAGATGCAAACATTATGTAATCAAGGGCTTTGCAATACATTAATGATAGACAGTGAAACCCAAGCTGACTTTGAAAGCACGACTAGAATTAAGCACAACTAGAAATAATGATACTGCTCTTTCCAGTGTGTCCAGACACGCTGAGCTCTTATGAAAGCCACCGTACATCATAAATACACGTGCTCTGAAACAAGAGTGCTATAAGAAAATAAGTGCTAACAAAATGCTTATAACTTAGTCACCAATGACAGCTGCATTCAACAGAAAGTCAGATGACACACTGGGGAACCCTAGACGAGGCAGGTGAAGTATCTAACGTGAACTTCAAATTCCAATTACTTTAGGTTAACAGTTTAACACAATGGTCTCTCACACCTGTTGATTTGGAATAATTGCAAGGTAAGATGAGGTCTTAACCCCTTTAACCTCTTTAGGCCGATGTCTTAGTTCTTTTTATTTAGCATTAATTAAATGTACCATACAAGTAAAAGAACACATTTCTTAGTAACAGAAACAAATCCATTCAAGTATAAAACTTGACCACTGGTAAGTCCATAAATGGCCTCACTGCATTGAAAAGACACCTGTTACAACTATTGCTCTAAAGGTAAGATCTGAATGAAACAGCTACCTTCCTATTGTTGCTAGCTTCTGTCAGACAAAACAGCCATGTATTTTAGATGGTCTTCTTCAAAAAACAAAAACCCTAGAAATAAAGTAATGTGACTATGTTTACTTTATTGTTCACACATGTTTATTTTATGACAACATGGGCATCTCCCAAGACCTTAAGAAGCCATGCCCATGAAGGCAAATGGTGTCATTATTCTCATTGCACAGATGACAGAGGCCCAGAGAGGCTGACCTCTTCAAGTTGACAATGTGCAGCACGCACCATTGGCAGCCAGAGCTCATAATTCAACAGAACTCTTCCACTACGACCAAACCTCTCATTTCATAAGCCCTAATATGTAAAACAGTTTAGAAGAGATGACCATCATCATAGTTTATTTCTGTATGGAAACCAGAGTACTGGTAACAGACAAACCCTACCAAAATCACAAGAATAAACAGTCAGATGTTTTAGATCCTATCAAGTCATCAATTTTGTAGCAATAAATGGACTCAAAAACATTTATTTATTTATTTATTTATTTATTATGTATACAATATTCTGTCTATGTGTATGCCTGCAGGCCAGAAGAGGGCACCAGACCCTATTACAGATGGTTGTGAGCCACCATGTGGTTGCTGGGACTTGAACTCAGGACCTCTAAGAAGAGAGGCAATGCTCTTAACCTCTGAGCCATCTCTCCAGCCCTCAAAAACTTTTTTTTTTTAAAAAATTTATTTATTATGTATACATATTCTGTCTGCGTGTATTCCTGCAGGCCAGAAGAGGGCACCAGACCTCATTACAGATGGTTGTGAGCCACCATGTGGTTGCTGGGAATTGAACTCAGGACCTTTGGAAGAGCAGGCAATGCTCTTAACCACTGAGCCATCTCTCCAGCCCTCAAAAACTTTTAAGAAGCTTAAGTATGAGCAATATGAAAGACACTTCCCACTAAGCAAAAAGGCCAACATAAAATATAAAATAAAAACAATGTTGGGCCATGGTGGCACACGCCTTTAATCCTAGCACTTGGGAGGCAGAGGCAAATGGATCTCTGTGAGTTCCAGGCCAGTCTACTCTACAGAGTGAGTTCCAGAACAGCCAGAGCTACACAGAGAAACCCTGCCTTGAAAAACCCAAACAAGTAAAGAAATAGATAACTAAATAAATAAAAACAATGAATGAAATCTCCCTTTTTATTATTATCAAAAAATATAGAAGAGGCAAATGGCAATATCAGATACAGCTCTTACAAAGTGCCATCTTTGACAAGAGACCTACCATCCCTAGAGTTGTTTGAAAGAGACCATTTCCATATTATGTGTCAGAGAGAACTCATAAAGTAAGTTGACAAAACTTACAAACCACCGCTTTATTTATTATATCGATAACTTTCCCAGAAGTGACTAATATGGCTATAAGGAAGCTGGGTTTAAACCAGTTTTTAAAAAGAACAACTGGAAAACAACTAAGAGAGAACATACATAACTACCCCCAAACCTAATAGAAAACCATTAGTGAAAGGGACTAACTGCACAAAGGGACTGAAAGGGATTTATAACAACCAACATTCAAGACAGAAAAAAAAAAAAAACGGTTGATTATGCCAAAATATTTTTAAAGAGAAAACTTACCCAAAATATGCCTGCAAACTGCAAATGGTGATTTGGATTTCCTAAAGGATAGGAGTATGTGCTCTGCATGCTGGCGTTGTTCATTACTGACCATGGAAGGTGGGGCCTTTAGAGTAAAAACAAAGACAGAGCAACCAAATGAGAAAGCCTGTACGACACTGATCCATTCGCCCACTGTGGAGAAAAACCTTTCACTTTGAGGAGTGGGGAGAAGGGAATTTTTTTTTTTTTTGCTTTAAGTTTTTAAGGAACTACAGTACAGAACTTCAAAATAAATATATAAAAATACAGTTCCAGGAAGAAACAAAGAAGCAAGCTTTGTCTCCGAAACTGTTTAAAGCTGCCTAAATCTAGAAAAGGAACTACTTTAAAAGAAAGGTAATATCCTCATCCTTTGCTTCAAAATCTACCACTCAGACTAATTTAACTAACTTCAAATGCCAAAACTTTTCAGTACTGAGGAAACTGAATTAAAGTTATGAAAAATCTGCAAATGTTACCTGGAATTCATGGACCTCTATAAATTCTCTGAATACTAAATTCAATCAGCCAAAAAGCAAGATATCTACTTTACCAAAACAACTTCTGAAGTCTGCCTAGACTTTTAAATTCCACTTTGGTGCAATAGCCTGTCTTCCAAAGCTGTTTCCCTGCTAAAGCATACTTATCCAAAATACATATTCCCATTACATGGCTGAAGGGGAAGATATTGGAAATAACATTTATTGTTCTACAATTTACCTGGATCATATTAAGAAAGGCTATCGTTCTGGGTGTGGTATCACACACCTTGAAGAGAGGCAGAGGAAGGTAGATCTAAGTTTGAGGCCAGCCTGGGCTATAGAGAAAGCTCCAGGCCAGACAAGAACACATGTTGACATAGTGAGACAACATTTAAAAAAAAAAAAAAAAGGAAAGGAGGGAAGGAAGGAAAAGAGTTTGTGATTTTAACAATACCAGAGAATCTTAAAGATGAAAACATTCTCCAAATAAGCAGGGTAACGTATTATGCATTATCATCTCTCTGAACACTCTACACTCCTCCCCTGTGAATGTCTGTACTAGTTAAAGCCAGTGCACACTATTCCTAAGGTTACAGCACCCTCTACAGTTCTCCAGAAAAAAAACAAAACTTTCTATTACAGAACTGAGTTTAACTGGATTTAGTAACAAAATATTGGGAGCAACTAGCTATATTACAAGTTCTGTCCTTTCACCTGCAAACTGTTCACACCAGGAGAACAGAATGAGCTGTGTTTCAAGGTTTCTATCATTAACACTGCATTTAGTCAGCACCACCCACTCACAGCTGTGTGTACAAATCAACACGAGGTTACCTGGGGAGTGTCTGGATCATTTTTTCCTCTCATGGTCCTTATGCTAGCTATTTTATAAATAAAAACTCCTTCTACAGCTAATGAGGCTAAACTACTGCACTACTCACTTTTATAAAAAGTAAGAGTATGAAGATATTAATGTATAGTATAAAATGTAACCACCTATTTGGATATTATACACACAATAAAATCACCAGATCAACATATGTGGCAGGACAGAATATACTTTAGATTCCTAAATCCAGAGCTATAATTTCTTTATTGAAAGAAAGCTGTTGTTCTGTACGTTTGTTGCCCCAAGTAGGCTGACGCAGAAAGATCACTTGAGCACAAGAGTTCAAGAGCATCTGATGATGTAAGAATGTAAAGTACTGGGCTGGAGAGACGGCTCAGAGGTTAAGAGCACTGGCTGCTCTTCCAGAGGTCCTGAGTTCAATTCCCAGCAACCACATGGTGGCTCACAACCATGTATGAGACCTGGTGCCCTCTTCTGGTGGGCAGGCATACATGCAGACAGAACATTGTATACATTAATAATAATAATAATAATAATAAAGAATGTAAAGTACTGCAGTTTTACACCCACTGTTTGAAAACTTTATTGCACACTCATGTACAGATGATTAAGTGAAGTTTTAAAATGTACTTTTTTTAAAGATTTATTTATTAATTATGTATACAGTGTTCTGTCTGCATGCATCCCTGCCCACCAGAAGAGGGCACCAGATCACATAACAGATGGTTGTGAGCCATCATGTGGTTGCTAGGAATTGAACTCAGAACCTCTGGAAGAACAGCCAGCGCTTTTAAACTCTGAGCCATCTCTCTAGCCCTTAAGTGAAGTTTTAAAGTGTAACTAATGAATCAGTATTTGATCAACCACTGTCTGTATATTTTATTAAATTGTATATTTCTAATCACATTTTTTAAAGCTGAGAACTGGTTAGATGTTTATTCTCCTGAAGGTATTTTTAAGATAAAGCTTCACCATAGCCTGTAAACTTGGTACATACATGTAGTTTTTGATATTTTTTGTTGCATTTGAAAATCTTGTATATGGTAAAATGGTTTTATACAAAATACTAAATGATAGAAATTGTATAATCATGTAAATAAAAATATTAAACAGTAAAAAAAAGAATATGTAGACTCAACAACTATAAAAGTCCTTTAATCAAGTCCAAATGGATCAAAGACCTCAACATAAAGTCAGCCACACTGAACCTCATAGAAGAGAAAGTGGGAAGTACACTTAAACGCACTGGCACAGGGAACCACTTCCTAAATAGGACGCCAGCAGCACAGACACTGAGAGAAACAATTAATAAATGGGACCTCCTGAACTGAAAAGCTTCTGTAAAGCAAAGGACACGGTCAATAAGACAAAACGACAGCCTACAGAACAGGAAGATCTTCACTAACTCCACATCAGACAGAGGTCTGATCTCCAAAATATACAAAGAACTCAAGAAATTGGATACCAAAAGATCACATAATCCAATTAAAAAATGGAATACAGACCTAAACAGAGAACTCTCAACAGAGGAATCTAAAATGGCTGAAAGACACTTAAGGAAATGTTCAACATCCTTGTCATCAGAGAAACGCAAATCAAAACAACTCTGAGATTCCATCTTACACCTGTAAGAATGGCCAAGATCAAAAACACTGATGACAACTTATAATGGAAAGGTTGTGGGGAAAAGGGAACACTTCTGCATTGCTGGTGGGAGTGCAAGCTGGTACAACCCCTTTGAGAATCGTCACTGTGGCGATTTCTCAAAAAATTAGAAAACAACCTTCCTCAAGACCCAGTAATAGCCGGGCGATGGTGGCGCACGCCTTTAATCCCAGCACTCGGGAGGCAGAGCCAGGCAGATCTCTGTGAGTTCGAGACCAGCCTGGTCTACAGAGCTAGTTCCAGGACAGGCTCCAAAGCCACAGAGAAACCCTGTCTCGAAAAATAAATAAATAAATAAATGAAAAAAGACCCAGTAGTACCACTTTTGGGTATATATCCAAAGGATGCTCAATTGTGCCACAAGGACATGTGCTCAACTATGTTCATAGCAGCATCCTTTGTCATAGCCAGAACCTGGAAACAACCTAAATGCCCCTCGATCGAAGAACGGATAAGGAAAATGTGGTACATTTATACAATGGAGTACCACACAGCAGAAAAAAATAACTTTTCAGGAAAATGGATGGAACTAGAAAACATTATTTTGAGTGAGGTAACCCAGATACAGAAAGACAATTATGACATGTACTCACTCACAGGTGGTTTTTAAACATAAGGCAAGCAAAGAAAGCCAGCCTATAAACCACAATCCCAGAGACCTTAGACAACAATGAGGACACTAAGAAAGACTTACATAGATCTAATCTACATGGAAAGTAGAAAGTAAAAAAAGACAAGATCTCCTGAGTAAATTGGGAGCATGGCAACCTTGGGGAAGGGTTAAAGGGGGGAGGGGAGAGACATGGAGGGGAGCACAGAAAAATGTAGAACTCAATAAATATCAATAAAAATTTTTTTTTTAAAAAGTCCTTTAAAACGACTTCCAAACAGTAAATTATTTCCACCAGTAAATTCCAAGAAGTCTGTGAAGATGGCTCCCTGTTTAAGAGCACTTGTGGGACCAAACGCTCACAAACCCAATACAAAAGACTGATGTTTCTGTCCCCAGCTTCACCATCCTACCAGCACAGACAAGCAGATCTGTTCACAAAACCTGGTAAAAAGCGACAGTGACTCAAGTCAGAAGAACCCAAAACTGGGTATCTGGAGATTATTTACCAATCCAGGGGTTAAATAACATGCTTAGTTTTTAGTGGGCTGAATATATATGGGGTTCAAAGACTTTGAGCAGCATCTGTTCAGAATGTATTTGACAAGGACTATATGCTTAGCACCATGCCAGAGCTAGTAATGCACTTACGTGATTCTACAAGACAAGACAGGAATTAACCAATCACAGAGTTCATAAACCCTGCATCCACCAGTTTATTCTAATCGCTTCTACTGCCCTGCTGCTAAGCCTTTCTTCGGAACAGTCACCAATTCCAATTCCCATTCTACAGACCTCCAGTTCTTTCCCTAGGAAGCCATGACTGTTCTAAACTATCAGTAATAGTCATAAAGTTATAATCATTATAAAACTGTCTGGTAGAATGCTAATTTTACATATTAGCTCATTAGTTCCAGGAATATCCTTGTAGGAATATCCTTGTAGGAGTTATCTCTCTCTTTTAAATGGAGAAATCAAGATTTGGAAATTGTTAAATTCCCAAGACAGCCAAGTCAATAAGAATGTGACTTCAAAGTTGCCGGGCAGTGGTGGCGCACGCCTTTAATCCCAGCACTTGGAGGCAGAAGCAGGCAGATCTCTGTGAGTTCGAGACCAGCCTGGTCTACAAGAGTTAGTTCCAGGACAGGCTCCAAAACCACAGAGAAACCCTGTCTCGAAAAAGCAAAAAAAAAAAAAAAAAAAAAAAAAGAGACTTCAAGTACACATCAGTGCATATCCTAGAGGTAAACTGAGGAGTTTTGCCTCTCTTAACTAGCAGAAAATGCTAACTAACATTCTGGCTTCCTATACATATTATTATGTACAATTCATGAAAGACGGAAGACGGGACACTAAAGTCGGACTGAATAATCAGGTACTATTTGTAGACAGAAAACCACACTATGAGAGTAAAAGAGAAAACATGGTATGAAGTTATACTATAAAGATCTAATTAACACTTTGTTAGCTTTTTTAAT